TCTACCATTCTGCCCTACATACCATGGTTGATTATGACTTCATCTACCATTCTCTCCTACATACCATGGTTGATTATGACTTCATGTACCATTCTGCCCTACATACCATGGTTGATTATGACTTCATCTACCATTCTCTCCAACATACCATGGTTGATTATGGATTCATCTACCATTCTAACCTACTTACATTGGCTAATTATGAATTCATCTACCATTGTCTCCTACATACCATAGTTGATTATGAATTCATCTACCATTCTACCCTACTTACCTTGGTCAATTGTGTGTGCATCTACCATTCTGCCCTATTTACCACGGCTAATTATGAATACATCCATCATTCTCTTCTACTTGCCATGGTTAATTATGAATTCATCTACTATTCTACCCTATTTACCATGGTTCATTATGAATTCATCTACCATTCTGCCCTACATACCATGGTTGACTATTAATTCGTCTACCATTCTGCCTTACATACCATGGTTGATTATGAATTCATTTACCATTCTGCACTACGTACCATGGTTGATTATGAATTCACTAACCATTCTCTCCTACATACCATGGTTGATTATGAATTCTTCTACCACTCTACCCTACTTACCATGGCTAATTGTGAGTTCATCTACCATTCTGCCCTACATACCATGGCTAATTATGAATTCATCTACCATTCTACCCTATTTACCATGGTTAATTATGAGTTCATCTACCATTCTCTTTTACATACCATAGCTGACTATAAATTCATCTACCATTCTACCCTATTTACCATGGCTAATTATGAATTCATCTACCATTCTACCCTACTCACCATGGCTGATTATGAATTCATCTACCATTCTACCCTACTTACCATGGTTAATAATGAGTTCATCTACCATTCTCTCCTACATACTATGGTTGACTATTAATTCATCTACCATTCTCTCGTACATATCGAGGTTGATTTGGGATTCATCTACCATTCTACCCTACTTACCATGATTAATAATGAGTTCATCTACCATTCTCTCCTACATACCATGGTTGACTATTGATTCATCTACCATTCTCTCGTACATACCATGGTTAAAGTATGATTTTGCACAGTGAGCATAAATGACCCCGGTGGAATTTATTAATGTTTCTGAGAGAGCGAGCGACAACTCACGCGGGCGTCCATGGCATGGAACGTGAGACAAATGCAAACAGAAGCGCATGCGCTTATCGCCTCTTATCACTACCTCCACGCACCTTATCTCACTACATCCAAGCATTCGTATGCAATTTGTGCCTCTTCGTCAGTGGGAATGACCAAGATCTTCACCCTGAGAACACGATACAGGCAGGCGAAGCATGACGGATTAACGCATATGTAGACAGGCGAAGCATGACGGATTAGCGCATATGTAGACAGGCGAAACATGACAGTTTAACGCATATGTAGACAGGCGAAGTATGACGGATTAACGCATATGTAG